CATGGAGATACTCTTCTTATCTCCATGGTATGACTATGCATAAACTGTGTATATCGGTAGGATGAGTTATTAACTTTTTCTAGTCTAAACGTTGTATATTAATAAGATGTCATATAGTGAACTGCTGTATATAGCAAAATGCATACTGGAGCCTCATTTGTAATGAAAACTTGTTTTGAATTTTTGTGGTGCATGGACAAACAATCTTTTGTGAGGAAAACTTATATTGAAATGAACCCATAATATGGGTTCATTTCAATATATGATTCATTAATTCAGGAGAAATATCAACTATAATATAAGCAACATGGAACTGCCCCCTCACTATCAGAAATTAAGGATGAGGAACTGGGATATGATTTTCATGTTCCAATAGGTTTTAGTATGAGAATTGATATTTGAATGTGTGATCTGTGTGTATTGGGTGACAAATTTGTCTCCGAAATTCCTGGCAACTCTTCAGTTGGTCCATATATCCATCTTCCACCCCCCCCCCCCACCATTTTCTCCAGGTTTACTTCATCGCATGCAAACAGGGCTGATATCTACTGATGATGTTAACATATTTAGGAATGTCACACAAATCAATTCTTCTGTGAATGTTTTCTTTTGAATCTACTATTTCAAATCAGTCCTTAACTGTTGTAGATGTACATGTATGCATTCCTTTGCAGAGATAAGAAATGACAGGGGGAGAGAGGAAAGGGGTTTCCTTGTATGGGAAATGGGGTTGAGGTGGAGTGAAAGGATATAGAAAGACTGAACGAGAAATGGAGGTTTGAATATGAGGTGGACAAGTTGTGAAAAGGAAGATGAAAGGAGAAAAAGAAGAAAAGGGATAAAGAGGACAATTAAGAAAAAGAAAAAGGAGGAGAAGGAGGAGGAGGAGAAGGAGAAGAAGAAGGAGAAGGAGGAGAAGGAGAAGGAGGAGAAGGAGAAGAAGTAGAAGTAGAAGGGGAAAAAAAGATAAAGGAAAAAAGGAGGAGGCGGAGAAGAAGAAGAAGAAGGAAGGTCGAGAAGGAGAAGGAGAAGGAGGGGAGGAGGGAGAAGAAGAAGAGGAAGAAGAAGAAGGAAAAAGAGTGAAAAAGAGAAGAAAAAAGAGAAAGGGAGAGATTGAAGTGCAGACCAAGGAATAGAAAGTAAAAGCCCTTCAGAGAAATTTGAATCGATGTGACTTCAGGATTAAGAGCCCTTATTAGAAAACCACAGATGGATCGAAACACCAAACTTTAGGATGTGGTCAAAAGTTGCTTGGAACTTGCAAGCTGCTTCCTTGTGGTTTATGTGAAGAGAATCTGATCCTATTTTTACCCCTGTTAAATTCACAGAATTAGAATTAGTTGATAAAGCTAGATTTTCCTCCAACAAAAAAGTTTGTTTCATTTTGTTAAAAAATGATTGCAGTTTTTTTCAAAACCCTCTATCAAACATTGAAATAGACTTACTAATTCCTATACTTCTAAATTTGAGATTTTCAACAAAATCCTACACTCAAATAGATCAACTTCTTCTTTATATAATTTCTAATTTGAACTTTCCAGCATTATCCATCAGTAAGTTGATTTATTTCTTCTTATTTATAATTCTGAATTTGATTTTTCAACATTGTTTAACACTAAATTAATACAGATTCACTAATTCTCATATACAGTAATGATAGTGAATCCAATTTCTTTCAATATAATCTTGCACTAAAATAGACTTACTACTTATTATAGCAGATGAGGATGAGAATAGCCATTTAATGATAAAAAGAAATGTACATTTCTGTTTTAATTCAATTACTCGGAATGTAGCACCTATATATTGATTTTTTTTTTAATAATAATTTGTTACATCCAAAGATTTTAAATGTCATAATTTTTTGTTTGTTGTGTGAATGCATCCGTTTGTCTTTTTCTTGGTAAATTTCACATTTACTGAAACTTTCAGAAAACATACAACATGCATGATCATCATGAGGATGAGATTAGCCATTCAATTACAATTGAAAAAAAGAAAATATGTTTCAATGATATTTTGTGTAATTTTCTTTACAATGAAATCCTATTCTCATTATGAGACGTGGAATGTAGCAGCCATATATTGTAAAGAGTTTTTTTTTTTTACATCCAAAGATACTAATTGCCATAAACAAGGCTACATTCTTGGAAATATTTGTGCTTATTATAAGTTTTCAAGGAAATATTATTTATCTTTGCTAATTAAGAAACACAATCAAGTAGCTCTGACGTAGTAGGTCTTTAGAGTATTATCTTTCCTTTTGTTTTCTTCTAAAAAAGAACTATTTCATTCCTTTGCCAATTGGTTCATATCATTGAGATCTCATACAGGGTATTTAGGTTGTTTTAAAGAAAATTTTATTCCAAACTTTTTTCCAGGAAAAAATTGTTTGTACATGTATCAGTGAGCAGCACTGAAAGTGATACACAGTTTTGATGTAGATTATTATTAAACGAAACGAAATGCCATTCATAACTATTTTCAGAGATACTGATTTTGTATTCTCTGTGCCATTTTCATAAATGAGTAAGGCTAATCACCTTTCAAAGTGATTGAAGTATTGATCGAGTGTTTAAAAAACATGTTAATTGAAAATCCTCTTGATGGACAAATGGGATATTTAAAGCAAATTGAATCATGCTGCTTGTAAGTGTCGGCTTGCATGGTGATGTAGATATACAGTAGGCTTGCGGGTGCACCATGTGAGAGAGAGAGGGAGAGGGTTGAGGATTCCTCTCCAAGCGCTATAGTTCTCCTTAGAACTATATGCTAAGAAAGATAACAAACAGTCCTTTTCAGGACTACACACCCCCAAGAAAAATTAACGAGTCAGAGTCCTTTTCAGGACTCCTCAACCCTCTCCCTCTCTCTCTCACATGGTGCACCCGCAAGCCTACTGTATAAATTGAATCATGTTTGGTCTGTAAGCCTGGTCATATACTTGGAGAATGTGGATGCCATTGTCTCCATCCTTTCCTGAATGTTAAAGCAATCTCCATGAAAAGATTTGGCATAATCATACAGTGGAACCGCGTTATAATGAGGTCCTGGGGTCCATGGAAACCCGCCCCCCCCCCCACTTAGTGTTATTTAGGGTACGCATATGCATGTTCCAAGCAACCCCCCCCCCCCCCCTTTTCAGCAAAAGTCCTGTGTGTAAAGTCAATACGGGTTGACCTTTTTCTTTTGTTATACAAGCCTTTTTCAGCACCCCCCCCCCCCCTTTTCAGCAAAAGTCTGGTGTGTTAAGTCAATTCGGGTCAACCTTTTTCTTTTGTTAGTTTGAGAGTTTGGGAACACGCATGGTATCCCTCCGTTCACGGAGTGGGGGGGGGGGCGGGCATGGAAATAAGCCAGTTCACGATTGCAGTCTGATTGCAGAACAAATTTTGAAATACACGGAGACGAAATACTGGATACGTGCGTATGAAAGTTATGTAACATTATTCATTCATGCACATTCAGTGCACTCCATGATACACAGGTGGAAGTATTCTTTTAAAAGGGGGAAACAAAGGCTATTTATATTGCACCTCCATCGCTGTAGGAGTAATGTGCTAACCGTGAACTGGTCTATTACTGGCTTACTTTGAATCATCAGGTCGTCAGGTCGGATGGTCGCAACACCTAACCTTTTGTGAAAACATGCCCTTTTATTCATGAAATGTCAGTGGTAATGTTTGTGAAATCAAACCCTCTCATCTACAAATGGTCTAGTCCAATTTACCGACACTTTGTGAAAACCCTACGGCAAATCTACGAAAGGAATGGTCGCATCATCTTCCACTTTCGTTTTTTACGAAAGGTTGTGTATCCCGACAACCAGACAGGACGCGATTGCTCGATGATTCAAAGTCAACCATAAATTACCTTGTTATATCAGGGTAAAAAAAACAAAAGAATATTAAGAGCTGGTACCAGCAAAATCACCATATTATGATAGATACCTCGTTATATCAGAGCTCTAAAATGCTCTTCATAATTAATGTGGTTCCACTGAAGTGTTTTTTTTTTCTAATACATGCATAATGCCAGATTGTTTCTCTACTGAATGTGATCTTACCAAAGCTTGATAAATGAATGATTTAGAAGCCATGTCATGATTTTTACCACATCTGTGAAATGAAATACTGAACCCACATCCTATTGTGGTGAGGACTAATTACCATTAAACAATTACTTTTTTGTTTCTGGGAGCTATTTCTTGGATTTGGTGCATCAAAATGTGATTTCCTTTTGCCATTTTTTGTTTTTTTAATCAACTTTGTTTTGCCATTGAAAATACACTTTTTGTTCTTGAGAGCTTTCCTTGGATTTGGTATATCTAGATGAGATTTCCTTTTGGCATTTTTTCTCTTCTTTTAAACCACCAGAGCTCTGTTTATTTGGTTATCAAATGTATTTCCAGAGATAAATATTCTCCACTCTCTTTTTCTTTTTTAATGTGCCATATACTCATGAGCAATCCTTGACAAAAAGATTAAGACCCAATTCTTTTGGACATTGTAGAATATTTAAAAGGGATTTATATATTAGCACCTGGGCCCTGTCTTACAAAGAGTTAATATTAATCGCAACTTATTTGCGATTGATATCAATCGCAACTATGTACATAAGAGATAGGAAATTGCAAAGTTGCGATTGATATCAAAGAGGACTTACGATTGATTTGGATCAATCGCAACTCTTTGTAAGACAGGGCCCTGGCTTATCAATCACTGGTATTTCCATATGGCTATGCAGCCTCTTTTCATATATATCCTTTACAGCATTTCTTATGAAAAAATTATTTTAAAAGCCTGTGATGCCAATTAAGACCTTTTTTCTTCTTCCTAGAGTGGTCTTCATAAACACTTCGGGTTTACTGTATAACATTCCTTCAGTGTAGGATGAATAAAATCTGTCCAATATTCTATGTTCTATCAAGTCATTGCAAATTCTTGTTTGATATTCTAGAATAATCAAGAGAATTTCTTTCTTTTTCTTTATCCCTACAGATAACAGTGACTTGATTGCCTGCTCTGTGATAACCAAAGACAAAAGGTATGGAAGCAACATTATGACTGAAACCTCCCCTTTAGATGTTAGCTCTTTGAATTTCAATGTTTCCCCGTTGTTGAAATGTTGACTACCATTTCATTTCAGATTTGTGTTTTTAATTTTAAAAAGGTAGAAAACATTGTAAATTAAATGAAACAGACTTTATAGATACATTCATACCCTTGAACATGTCATGAACTATTTTCACCTCAACTCAGAATACTATAGGACTGCAAGAACAGGGTTTTTTTTTCTTCAAAGGAGCTGTTTTTTAATAATAATAATAATAATAAAAATGTTACTTATAAAGCGCTTACCACCGAAGTCTCTAAGCGCTATACACACAAAATAGACTGATATACAATTACATCTTATACAAAACTAAAAATGCAAATAGACATATAAATTACAATACATATGGAATACACATCAAAGTGAACAGAGTTAATTAATCATTGAACGCTATTTTGAATAAATGTGTCTTGAGACTAGTTTTGAATAGGTTAACAGTTTGACAGTTTTTTACATTTAAGACTATTATAAAACTGCAAACTGTTCAAATATCAATTTCTTTTGAAATATTTAATAGTTGAAGTTTCTGTTTCTGTGATTTGTTTGTATGTTTATTTTTGGTGTTTTGTCTGTATTGAAGGGTAGTTATAACTTGTTTAGTTTCCTGTATATCACCAGTTTTATGCTCCTTTTTATCCCATCAGCCCCCAGCGTGTGCGACGATTCCTGGTGATAGCCATCCATCAGCTGATTCTGGTGGAGCCGGACAGCAAGAAACTGGGATGGGGTGTGGCTAAGTTTGTTGGTCCTCTACAGGTGAGTGAGATTAGAATGCAGATGATGTTGATAAGGGGGAGAGGAGGGGAAGAGGGAGGAAGGGGGGTTGACGAGGAGGATAAAGATGGTTCGTGGTGATAGCCATCCATCAGCTGATTCTAGTGGAGCCAGACAGCAAGAAACTGGGATGGGGTGTGGCTAAGTTTGTTGGTCCTCTACAGGTGAGTGAGATTAGAATGCAGATGATGTTGATGAGAGGGGGGGGGGGGGGAGGGGGGAAGAGGGAGGAAGGGGGGTTGACGAGGAGGATAAAGAGGGTTCTTGGTGATGGCCATCTATCAGCTGATTCTGGTGGAGCCGGACAGCAAGAAACTGGGATGGGGGTGTGGCTAAGTTTTTTGGTCCTCTGCAGGTGAGTGAGATTAGAATGTAGCTTTTTAAGCATTGGAGGAGGAGGGGGAAAAGGAAAAGAATGTGGAAGAAGATGAGGATGGTTCCTGTCGAAATCATTCCATTAGCTGATATTGGAGCCGGAAGGTAAGAAACCAGGATGGGGTCTGGCTAAGTTTTGTTGGTCCTGTACAGATGAATGAGATTGATAAACAAAAGAAGAGAAGGAGTATAGGCAAGAGGTGAAGAGGAGGAGGAGAAGAGGAGAAAGAGAGAGGAATGATGAGGAAGAGAGATGGAAAATGAGGAGGAGAAGAAGAAGGAGACAGAGGATGAGAGGAAGAGAGATGGAAAATGAGGAGGAGAAGAAGAAGGAGACAGAGGATGAGAGGAAGAGAGATGGAAAATGAGGAGGAGAAGAAGAAGGAGACAGAGGATGAGAGGAAGAGAGATGGAAAATGAGGAGGAGAAGAAGAAGGAGACAGAGGATGAGAGGGAGAGAGATGGAAAATGAGGAGGAGAAGAAGAAGGAGACAGAGGATGAGAGGAAGAGAGATGGAAAATGAGGAGGAGAAGAAGAAGGAGACAGAGAATGAGAGGAAGAGAAGGAGGTGTAGTTAGAAGAGGAGGAGAGATAAGGGGTAAAAAGGTAAAGATGGCTCCTTGTGATACTCAAGCATCAGAAAAACTAGAAACTATAAGATAGGGTGTGGCAAACGTTGCTGGTCTCTTCAGATGTGTGAGATTGGTGTGGAAAGCTTATTTGTTATTTCATGTCAGTCTGGAAGAATATTATAATACAGATAGAATTGTCTTCAAATGCCCTCATATTCAACATAAGACAAGAATTAGTCCAAAAGTGTGACTCTAAACTTTTCATACCATATATCATGTATCCATCTTTGATCTTCAGCATGATGAAATCAATTTCTTTTTATTTAGATCATTCCAAAATCACACAGTGTACAACGATAGACTGGTTTACTAATACATATGAACATATGAATTGGATGTATGTTTAAAGATGAAGTTGAGTTCTGGTCATGCGATTGCATTGTGAAAGAAATGGCGTGGAACCGACCAGAAAAGGTTGATCATCTAGCATATAAGAATTTGTGTGTATTGCAAGGTTCTGGAATCATCAAAATGATAAGAAATTTGGCCAAGTCTTGGTAAAGTTACAAACACTTGCACAGAAAGATGTATATGGGACTACACGAACACGTGGCGTAAAAAGCCGCCCCCTCCCCACCCCCGATTTTTACGATGTTACATGCATATTTATAATATGAAGGCATTTGAAGAGCCATGCTTTTCAGGGAACATGTCTTATCTGATGTTCTTCAACACTTGCATAATAAGAATGAGTAACGCTCACAAATTTTTTTTCACCTCTTCCCAGAACTCAACCTTCTCTTTAAGAAACTAGGACAGCTTTCAAGAAATGTTGCAGGAGAAAGAAAAGCTATTGTTACTTATCAAGGATTCGAAATGCCCCTAATGAATCTGTTCACAAGCATTTGACAAGGTTCCAAGAACGTTGCTTCACAAAAGGCAGTTTCTGTTTAAAATGTGTATTTCTCAGTATTTTGAGAGATGTGAAATAAATCCAAGACAGTTTTCAAGAAATTCTGCTGAATAAAGAAAACTATTTTCACAAGAAACTAGTGATTTTTTTTCTTCTCAATTTTAATTTTTTTTTTTTACTATGGATATTAAAAGAAAGATTATGATCATTTGGTTTTTGTCAAAACCCAATGGATGCAATTACATTACAAGAGTAGATACCGAGTGTTATGTATTATTTAGCAAGAAATAAATCGTAATCAAATTCAATTAAACAAAATATTAATGTGTTTGACGTTGTGAGTGCTTGCAAAAATCTGGACCTTTCCCAAGAAGAGCTCCCAGGAAGTGCTCCCAACAAATCCTGCCAATTAAAAATGATATATTATTCTAAATGAGGTTCTTTATAAACCCATTTATATGAGAATAATTATTTTTATACAAATAGCTCCTTGCACTTTGAGCAACCAAATTTAGTTTCTTTCCCGATAGAGAGATGGTCTTAATAATCAACCTATTTATGTAACAGGAAGGATTTGTTTTCTCAAATGTTACTTTCGGGTATTGCATAATTTTGGTTTCCAAGAATGCTTTTAAAAGGAGAGTGCTTAGTACATATTTTAATTAGAGAGAGAGAGAGAGAGAGAGAGAGAGATTGTCAGTATAGTAAAGCTAAAAGTACAGCAAGGATATTTTGTTCAACTGCTACTTTGAATATTGCGTTATCTTGTTTTCCAAGAATGCTTTTAATAGGAAGTTGCTTATAGCAAATAATTTAATTAGAGTCAGATAATTAGAGTCAGATATTTTTGTCAGAAGTCAACCTATTTATGTAACAGCGAGGATGTTTCCTCAAATTTTTCTAATGTCATGATACCTTTTTCCAAGAATGCTTTAAAAAGGAGATTGCAATTAACTTACAGCCTGATATCATAGTGATTAGGTGTTATACATCCTCAACATCTGTATGTTTCAGTAATAATTTTTTTCTCAAACGTTGCTTTGAAATTTTATAATATTTATTTTCCAAAAACATTTTTTAATAGGGCATAGGTGTTTTTAGTGTACACCAAGCACATGCGCAGATATGCTACTGGGTAAGACGAATAGGACAAGGCTTCTTCCAGCCTCCAGAGAGAATGCACAGCAGTGTCAACTAATTCCGCATTTTACTAAATTATTGTTCAGGTTTCATGAACTCTCCCAATGATTTGATGAGATCTATGCAGGCACTATCATAATCTGTTACTTACAGTCCTTTTGCTCCAAAATAAAATGTCTACAGGACTTTCCATTAATTCTTGACCCATTGTATTTGTAAGGGGACCTGAAGTGCCGTTGCCAAATATAACCATGGCCGGTGCTGCCCTCTATGGCCAAACACAGTAGTTGCGATAGCGAGAATTAAACTAATCACCTTCTAGGTTGAACTTGCGTTGCCAATGGCCCATGGCAGGCCACAAGGTCATCTTAAGAGACAACACCCATTCAGCAGGAATATGTGTGTATTCCTCTGTGAACCTGACAGAACTTTCCAGGAAAGCCTACAACTCTAATAATCTAATCCATCCTCACCTTGTTAATCCCATGGGATTCCCTCTTTCCCAGGCAGCAGGATGGTGGCTAATAATGCTACCTGATTCACATGGTCTCACACCCAGCCACTCCTTCATTTCGACATTACAGCTATTTTGTTTTGCACAAACAGGTTTTACATATATGAAATTGTAACCTTTAAAGGCATCGTTTAACAATGTTAAATCTGAGATGCATGGCTCTAGGTGTTATCAGTGTCTGTAATATGGTGTAATATTGAAGCCCTAACAAAATTGCGCTTCAAAATGATCAAGAAGTGCCTTAAAAAAGTAAAAATCTTTGAGTGACCGGTTTACAATACCATTCATAAATATCTTGATAATCAGACAGGTGATAAGCTTGTAAAAGTCATGGGGTTCCTGACTAACCTAAAGGTTTATAATTATCATTGCAGCATGAGCTAAACCCAGGATTTTGTTTCAGAATCTGAGACGAGGTTACCGTATCCCTTTAACACGTTCCAACAAAACAATCATTGATGAAAATTTAATACTTTTATACAACTTATTAAGGAGAGAAATTACTAACATGACCATATTTGTATATGTTCAATTGTGGAAGGGGGCAACTTTATCTGTCAGGACAAAAATCAGCAATAACTTGTGTTTTGTTTTATTTTTTGTTCCTGTTCAGTCAAGTACTATCTGATAGAAAGCCCATTTTATATCTTTGCATTCAAACTGTTCTTTTAATTTAGTACTTAGTACTTTAAGGAATGGAAAAGAGGAAATTTTGTGTGAAATTACCTTGCATGGAGGCCTATCCTAGTTTTTCTAGTCTTCATATGCCTCTACCCAGTGAAGGTAATCATTTTATTACCGTAATTAGTAATGAACATTTCTTCTGACAAAAAAATATTACTGGAATTCTTGATATTATTTTGTGATAGCACTGTTGGCAGTTCATTTTTGTTCATGGGAATTCCTATTTGATTTTATACTGTGAAATAGTTCATTGCTTTTATTGAGAGCTCTTTCGAAGCTTCCCAATCCTAAACCACTCCCTCCTCTAGAATCACTTTTTCTTTTCACTGCCTTACAACTAGGCTACCATACATCCCATCAGCTGATTCACATGTCCATTCATTTCTCTTTGCAGTTAAAAATACCCCCTCGCTTGTCGACGTGACTGATTCCTAGATTACTCACAGCTTTCCCCCCCCCCCCATCCCCTCTCCCTATTCCCTGCCCCCTGATAAGCAAGGGCTTTTTCTCAGAATCCAATGCCTAAAATAAAACGTGAAAAGCATCACAAGTACGCTTCGTTCACCTTTATTAATGCTCTGATTTGTGGCGTGCTAATTTATATTCAGAGAAACTTGATCCTGAGTTTAATTCCCTGATGACTGTCGAGGTATTACAGAAGCTTTGGATGATTTCGAGGAGAAGAATAGAGGAAGAATAGATTAAAGATAGGGCACTGTCTTTGCATGTGAGAGGTTTGTTCACATTGCGACGTTTAACTGTATTGATTGTGTATTGAATTAT